GTTTATAACCTTAACAAAACCAGTTGAATAAAGCAAACACAACTTCTTCCCTGTACTCTGTCCTGTCACTCTCCCACTCAGAGCCTCTTCTCCTCCCTTCCCTGCCCCCCCCCACCCCAATACCTTGGGCCCTAGCCTATCCTTTTCCTTTTGCTTTCCATTGTCTCGTCCTTTCCCAATCTTCTTTGTCACTCCTAAGGGATGAAAACTGAGATCCCACACATTAAATCTTTATGCCGCTGCGGCTGTATCACTCACTGGACAGGCTTCTAAATTGGGGAAATTCAGGTTATAAATTGTAACCTGAGGCTGTGGCTCCATGATGTCAATAACTGGTTGGTTTAGTTGAGTCAAGGGAAAAGCCATCATGATTTCACATTACTATGATTTTATCAAATGACATATGGAGGTCTTCATGTAATTTCTGATTCTGTTTTTTCTGCTTTTAATTCGAAACCACTGCATACTAGAATTATCTCTGGTGTTTGTTGAGTTTGTGTTTGTTTGTTTTTTAACTCTCATGTCTTGGCTCTACCCAGGCTAACTAAATCTGAATCTCTGGAAATGGAGTCTGGACATTCAAAGCTTTAAAAAGACCCCAGGTAAGACCAATGTGAAGGCAGAGTTGAGAGTCACTAATCTAAACCCATCTTCTAAACATTAGCAGTGTGATGCCCTAGCTGGTTTGGCTCAATGGATAGAGCGTCGGCCTATGGACTAAAGGGTACCAGGTTGGGTTCTGGCCGAGGGCACATGCCTGAGTTGCTGGCTGGAACCCCAGTAGGGGGCGTGCAGGAGGCAGCCAATCAATGATTCTCATCATTGATGTTTCTCTCTAAAATCAAAAAAATATGTTTTAAAAAATAATAATAAAAAAAATAAACATTAGCAGTGTGTTTAACCTCAGATGATTATAGTTCCTTTAACTTGCTCAAGGATTTTCTAGATTCCATTCTCATTTTATCTTCACAATTCTGAGTTAGGCAGCTCCGATACTATTATTAGCCTTAGACAGATGATAAATGAGGCATAAAAATGTAAAACGAATTGCCCAAGTGCACCCAGTTAATTATTGGCAAAGACACATGGTAACTTCACTTGAGGCCGAGTCCCTTGATTGCAACCCCAGTGCCTGCAGTTTCCCCAAACCATGGGGCATGCCTAATCACAAAATTCCTGACACATAGGTGGCCCCTAGAAAACCAATTAATATAATGTGTTTAAATTTCAAAAGTAAGTATAACAATGACGCAGTTTAGGGTCAATGTTTCAAGGTGTGGGGGTTTTTTTGTTGTTGTTTTTTTTTTTTTTTGAGATCTATGATGTGATTTTGAATGTTCTTACTTCCACACACATACTTTCCCCACCCCCACACCACCCTTCACAGATGCATATTCTCCCAGATTGAAAAGATTCAGGTAGTTCCCCTCAGACATTATTTTCTGAAAAGCATTTTTAAATGATTAGAGAGTCATAGAATATCAGAGGCAAGGGGAACTTGACTGGTCAACTTTCCCCACTCCCTAGGATAGGTGAGAAACCCAAAGTTCCTTTTAATTCAATATAGATGGAATGCTAACACTATGCCAAGCACTTCACATCCATTATCTTAATTAAATCTTCAGGATAACTCAATAAGATGGGTACCACTACTGCCACCATCATCATCGTTATGATCATTATTCCCATTAAACAAACAAACAAACCAAAAAAGCACCCTGAGGTTTAGAGATGCTAAACAACTTACCCAAAGTCCCTAGGCTGGGAAGTTAAGACCTGGAACAAGTCATCCCTTGACATCCTAGGCGGATTGGTTCCAGAACCCCTGTGGACACTAAAATCCATGGAAGCTCAAGTCCCTTATGTACAATGTCATAGTTTCTGTATATCGCCTACACACATCTTCCCATACACCTTAAATCACCTTTAGATGGTAGAGGGTAAACAAATCTTTATGAAAATGCTAAAAGGTGATCAGTGAACACATTCAAAGAGGTAGAAAATTGGCATTGGGCTAGGCCTTCACAAATATATAGAATTTCAGTAGGCATTCCAGTCTGGAATCAACACTGATATTGAGGCGGAAAAGTGACAGGGAGGGCACAAGGTGAACTGGGACAAAGAGATGGAGAGAGGTGAGGAGTCAGATTGTGGAGGGTCCTGAGGGCCTGGCTGAGGATTTTATACTTTAATTGTGGGCAATGGGAACCCACTGAAGATTTTTAGAAGCAAGGTCATTAAGAAGTGCAAACTGAGCCTGGCTGGTGTGGTTCAGTGGTTGAGCGTGGACCTAGGAACCAGGAGGTCACAGTTGGATTCCTGGTCAGGGTACATGCTTGGGTTGTGGGCTCGATCCCCACCCAGTGTGGGGCGTGCAGGAAGCAGTCAATCAATGATTCTCTCTCACCACTGATATTTCTATCTCTTCCTTCCTCTCTGAAATCAATTATATATATATACATATATATATATACATTTTAAAAAGTTACCTATAAAAAATGCAAATTGTTTTAGAAATACAGATCTCATGGAAGTATCGAGATTGAATTAAGGGAGCTTGACATGGAGAAGACCAGCTAGAAAGCTGTTATATCTCATCAATTAGCCACTTTACTTTTTAGCCACGTGTTGTGCTTGCATCTTCCTCCCCGGAGGAAGGACTTCCTGGTTTCTTCAGGGCACCTCCATGTCTGTTTCATGATTCTTGTATCTCAACACCCTACTTGAATCGCCAAGTCTAGGTCAGGTGACAGAGGACTTGAACTTGGACATTGGGACTGGGGATGAGAAAACAGGTTTGAGGGGCATTTGCAAGGGCCTGGCAGCTGCTCAGAAGTGAGGAGAGGGTAAGAGAGAACGCGAGAAGCAGACTAGAAAAAGACTAAGGTTTCAACCTAGAAGAAGGAGAACAAATAATGAGATGTAGAAAAGAAGGGGGGGTCAACACTAGCATAAAGAGGTGAATGAGACGAAGATTGGCCAAGATCTCAATCCAACGGGCATTTTATTAAGCAGCTACTCTGCTGGACATTAGAGGAACAATGATGAGTAGATTGGTTTTGGCCTCAGGTACCATCCAGAGTGAGGAAAAGACAGGACTAGCAATAGAGAGAGATGCCTGGTCTCTGAGTTTCAGGACAAATGTCACCCTCTCACACAGGCGCTCCTGGAGGGTCATCTACCACAAGCACCCTCCCCCACACACACACATGACCCTGCTTTGCTTCTCCAGTGCAGTGCACTTACAAATATCTGAAAGCCGTTTATACATGCATATATTGCCTGTCTCCTCCCTGCCCCCCAGAATAGAAGCCTCACAGGAACTGTCTTGTTAGTTGCTGCCAGCCACAAAATAAGCCCCTCCCCGACCCCCAAGTATTTATTGAATATGTGGTGTGCTTTTTAAAAAGAGAATAAACCCTCATCAAGGTTAAGACCTCCAGCCAAACTAGGTGGGTTTCCCGATGCCTAAGGGACAGACTGAGAACTGAAGTGACTGAAGAGCAAAACCATCTGAGGTTGGGGGTGAACCAAAATCCAGGGGGCTCACAGGGATTAGTGCCGGGACCGACCGTTTCACATTGATTTCAAGGGTCCCAACCCTGCGTGAGATGTTTAGTAACAATGAGGGCAGGCAGCCACCTAGCTCAGGTTTTCTTTCCGTTGTCTCTCTGACGTCAGAACAAGCACGAGTTACTGCACAATTTCTTCCATCAAGGTGACAAATTACAGCCTTGCAGGGCCCTGCAGTCTGCAAACCGTAGATTTAGTCTCTCCTCCCTCTTATATTAAAAAAAAAAAAAAAAATTAACCCACCGCAGAGATGTCAAATCCATAGGTGCGATAAAAACTGGGTCTGCGCTGCAGAGCGAGACACAAAGGGCTCTCAACGGTAGCACCACCCTCCCCAGCTCAAGGCAGCCTGTAAAAGGCACCGGAAACGCCGGGACGCTGTTACCGCGAAATTCCTTTTGCCGCCATATGCACTTGCACCTTCTCTGACTACAGTTCTGCCCAAATCCAAGGGCGGGAGATTCCGCAGGGGAGCAGCGCCCAGGCAGCCCCGGATGGTGTGGGGTCCCAGTGGGTGCAGAGGAGCCCGACGCTCTGGTAGGAGGATGGGGGGGCGGGGGGGCCCCCCGGGACGCACACTAGGGCTGTGGAGCGCTTTCCTCCCGGCACCGCGGCCAGTTTAAAGGCCTTTTGTGGCAACATGTTTAGGGATGGGGCGAGGAGGTGGAGTGGAAGCGAGACAGTCCGAACCCAGGCCACGCGCAAGCGGTGGCCTTTTGTTCGCCAGCTCCAGCGACCCTGGTTCCCAGACCAGCACCTTTCTCCTCCTCCCTCCTCGATTTTGGAAAGAACCTCTTCAGGGCGGGAAAGGACAGTGACCACTGCTAGCATCCTTTAGTCACCTCCCCCGGCATCCTCCTCCTCCTCTCGGTTGCTGAGATGGGCAGAGCTAGAGCAAGGGGCGGCAAATGTGACCCGGTTTACTCGCGCTCCGAGGCCAGTCCTGGAAACCCAGTCGGCCGCCCGCACACCCTCAGGGCATCACACACTCTCCTCTGGGCCCTACGGACACAGAAAATTGCCCCAATGCCCAGGATGCAAACACTCCTCGGCTATGCAGTCGCGCCCTCGCATCGGCTGCGCTCTCCCCACAGCCCTGCGCGGTCCCTGACCCTCGTGCAACTTAACCAGGTCGGGCGCCACGCGCTCCCACCATGAAAACGGAACCAAAAAGTAAGCCACCGCCACGGGAAGGTGAAATCAAGACTCTCTGTGCCTCCTCACGCTGCCACGTGCATTAGGAACAACGGGAGACCTGGGCTTTCCCTTTCCCCAAAGCAAAAACCAAATGCATCCGGCACAGCGGCGCACCCCTGCCTTCCAGGCCCGCACGGAGGGCTTCTATGTCACCTCCCCGCACATCGCCAACATCCCTTTCCTCCCGCTGCCGCGCCCTTGGCTCTCTCGAGCCAGGAAAGTCACCCTACCTTGGGCAATAAAGGGAAAAGTGTTACAGGGTGAGAAGTCAAGGTGTCCTCCCTTCCGGATCTTATCCCCGGCGGTGTGATGTCCTTTGTGTCAAGGTCTAGCTGCCTGGGCCGGGAGAACGTGGCCTCTGTCTGCGAGCGCTGGGCGGGGAGCCTTGGCGGGGTATGGCTGATTTCCGAGGAAGGTGAAGGGCGGCGGTTCCCGGCGACCTTCAGACAGAGCAGCGTGGCTGCCTCAGCCCGCGCTCCCCTAGCTCTCCTCCTCTAGGGGCGGATTGCATCAGAGCCTCCCCCTCCTCCCCCCCCCCCCCCCCCCCCCCACATACACACACACACACACACACACTGCCCGCCAGCCTCGCACTTACTGCGACACGCTCGGGAGCTGAGGGTCTCCAATCGCCGTCATCCTCCTACTGGGAGCCGCGTCGCCCACGCTCATCCATGGCTCGTGAAGGTTTAACGTGGAAAGTTAAGCCATTCCTCCTCGTCCAGCGCGCCGTTCCCTCCCCTTCCGCGCGCCGGCTCTTTAACCAAAGCTGAGTACCACGGAGCAGTGCCCGTCACACGGTGTCTCTGTTGGTGCCCGAGCCTGCTGCCTCCCTCTCGCCGCTCGCTGGGGATGCAGCGATCGCGGCTGGCGGAGGCTGAACATCGGGAGAGGGGTGAGGGAGGGGGTGCGGGGTACGCATTTGCCCGGCGCATCGACGGTCGCAGTGGGAGCAGAGGCTGCGCGCAGCCTGGACACCTGCCCCACGCCCTCCTGGAGCCCGGCATTGAGTCCAGAACCGGGTTGTGGCGGTGGCTGGAGACTTGGAACCCTTGGGTATGGAAGTGGGGGGGGGGGGGGGCGGGGGGCGCGAGGAGGGGAGGGCGCACTTTGGGGTGCGCCAGAGTCCAGCCACGGGGCCGGGGGAGGGGAGTGGCATTGTGGGAAGGGCGCGGAGCGGAGGATAGCGGCGGGAGTGGCTGGTCCTCACGCAGCGCCTGGAGCTGCGGACGGCGCGGGAGCGGTGTAATGGCTCCGGGGACCGCACCGAGACCGCCCAGGTGGGCGTGAAGGGGGCCCAAGTGTCGGGGCAGCGGGGCACCTTGGGAAAGCCTTTGTCTCTAACCCGCAGTGGGAGGGGCCTCCCCTCTTCCGGGACCTGCAGCGCGGACCTCGGCACCCCGCGGAGATCTGTCCTCGGAAGCGGCGCTTTGGGGACTGGGCGTGACTAGACCCGAAGGATTTGCTGAGCTTGCGGCGCGCACCTGCCTGGGCGCGAAAGGGCGCGCGGGCCCCCAGCCTGGCCACCCACGTGACTCTGCCCCCCCGCTGGACACGCTGGAGGGGCCTGGGCAGGGGCGCTTTCCATCCGTGGGGCGGTGCGGGCGGGGGAGCAGGATGGAGGGGACTGGACAACTGGGCCCGGTTCCTTTTGCTTACTCTTTGTTTCAGCCCCTTTTCATTGACTGGGCACTTCCTTGCAGGGGAGTTGTGTTTCCTTAAAATGGCGACAGGAAATCCCACCTGCGCGCCAGCCACCAATTAGACTGTCATCATAGAGCGAATTTGCGGGGCGGAAACTCGAGCTTTTTATTGACAGGAATGGTTCAGTCTCCGTGTTCCATCAAAACAGGAAAGGGAAGGTGAATCATAAATTAATCCACCGGGGGTGCTTCAAGCGGGCAGGCAGTAGTCAGTGAAATGGAGTGGCTAATGCTTTTTTTTTTTTTTTAGCACCACCGGAAAAGCGAGAAGATAGCCAAATTTCCCAACCCTCATAACTAAAATCCTGTTGCCGTGGAATGGCAGTAAATGATCTTCTTTAGCTCAACAATGGCTTCCTGAGAACCCCATTTAGGAGGAATGCTTTTGAATAAACCTGAGAAACTGAACAGTCATTGCCAACAGAAGAGGGTAAAACGATGGGCAGCCTATCTCAGACAGACCTGCCATCAAAATCTATCTGACAGTTATTGCTTCCTTCACCCACTTTTGTCCTTATCCTGTTCCCCACTTTGTTAAAAAAAAAGGGGGGGGGTAATAGGACCCACATCATAGTAATATTCTACAAGTTATCAAAAAGTTGATTCTCCCCCTCTCCCCTTTCCATCCTAGAAGCAGCTCATTTAGTATAAAATTACTCATTTTAAGTAGTGTGCATCTTGCCTGACTGGCACCATAATTCTTATGAAAAACTAAGAAGTCTGAATAGGCAAAGTAGGTAAACTATGGTCACAGGTCCATAAGCCTGTTGAAATGTTTACCTTATTAAACAGAATGTATATTCACTAATGTTGGTTTGCAGAGCTTATCTTTTTTTAAAATATACTTTATTGATTTTTTACAGAGAGGAAGGGATAGGGATAGAGAGTTAGAAACATCAATCAGCTGTCTCCTGCACACCTCCTACTGGGGATGTGCCCGCAACCCAGGTACATGCCCTTGACCAGAATCGAACCTGGGACCTTTCAGTCCGCAGGCTCATGCTCTATCCACTGAGCCAAACCAGTTAGGGCAGCGGTTCTCAACCTGTGGTTCACGACCCCTTTGGGGGTCGAACGACCCTTTCACAGGGGTCACCTAAGTCCATCGGAAAACACATATATGATTACATATTGTTTTTGTGATTAATCACTATCCTTTAATTATGTTCAATTTGTAACAATGAAATTGGGGGTCATCACAACATGAGGAACTGTATTAAAGGGTCGCGCCATTAGAAAGGTTGAGAACCACTGGGTTAGGGCCTCTTTTGATTATTGTTTTAACTTACTTGCTAGTTTCAGTGCACCAAAAAAACTGCAGTTACCTGGCATTTTTTGAATTGGATTCAATAGTGATGAATTGAACTTCTACTCTTTGCCAGCTAAGCACTTCAGATATAAATATTCTCTCATTTAATCTTTGTAACCACTCAATTAAATATTATCCTCTTTGTATAAACAAGAAAGCAAGTTCTAAGTGGCTAAATTGGCCATATCACTTAAGACTAAGTGGTGAAAGGGCAAGTGATTCCTGTTCAGGTCTCAGTTCAAAAAGTCCATGCTTAGTCTTCACCATGATGCTATAACCTTTTGCAACTAGACATTCTTAGGCCTCGAATTTACAAGGATCTCCATCCCCATCTGGATTTTAGTTGACAACCTGTAACTGGAGTACACATGTCAACCTGGAGGCTGAAATGAAGAACTGTCACTATGGGGAGAATTGGGGGTAAGGAGGGAAGAAGTAGTGTTTACGACAAGTAACTTCCATTTGCATTTTTCTTCTTGCCTACTTGTAGGCGAAACTTCTTTTCAGAGTAAGTAGCTCAGCTCTTAATCCCAAGTGCTATGGTCTCAAATGGGGGAAAAGAATGCCATGATGACAACTGTCTACTTTGTGCTTTCTGAGAGATGGGTAACAGAATAAGCACTTTACAGATACTCTCCCATTTATTTTTTATTGAATTTATTAGGGTTACATTGGTTAATAAAATTACATACATTTAAGGTGTACAATTCGATAATACATCATCTGTATATTGTGTGTGTGTTCACCATGCCTGTATGGTCAATTAATATTTGACCAAGGAGGCAAGAACACTCAATGGGGTAAAGATAGTCTAGTCAATAAATGGTGTTGGGAAAATTGGACAGAAATGTGCAGAAAAAGGGGGGGGGGGGGGACTAGACCACCTTCTTACACCATACACTAGAATAAACTCAAAATTGACTAAAGACTTAAATGTTAGACTCAAAATCATAAAAATTCTAGAAGAAAACATAGGCAGTAAAATGTTGATTGTGGCAACATTTTTTTTTATCTGATGTATCTCCTTGGGCAAGGGAAACAAAAGAAAAAACAAACAATTGAGACTACATCAAACTAAAAAGTTTTTGCACAGCAAAGGGAGCCATCAACAAAAGACAACCCACTTAATGAAAGAACATATTCACCGATACATCTGATAAGTGGTTAATATCCAAAATTTATGAAGATTTATAAAACTCAACACCTCCCTGACCGGTTTGGCTTACTGGATGGAGCATTGGCCTGCGGACTGAGAGGTCCCGGGTTCAATTGCGGTCGGGGGCAAAGATTTGAATAGACACTTCTCCAAAGAGGACATACAGATAGCAGATGGTCTCTCATTTAATCCTCACAACATTCCTAAGAGGTGCAGACCATTCTAATCCCTGATTCGGAGATTAAGGAACATATCCCAAGTTCACACAGCTCTAATTGGCACATCTAGGGCTTGAATCCAGAGCTGACTCCAAAGCCGATTCTCTATGCTTGACTCTAATATGTTCCCCGATGCTGGGTGAAAAAAGGTGAAGGGGTTAAGTACAAATTGGTAATTACAAAATAGTCACAGGGATGTAAAGTACAGCATAGGGGATATAGTCAATTATATTGTAACTAGAGGACTGGTGCACAAAAATTTGTGCACTCAGTGGGGAGGGGTGTTCCTCAGCCCGGCCTGTGCCCTCTCGCAGTCTGGGACCCCTCGGGAGATAACGACCTGCTGGCTTAGGCCTGCTCCTGTGTGGCAGAGGGCAGGCCCAATCCTTAGGTGCAGCCCCTGGTCGGGCTCAGAGCAGGGCCGACTGGGGAGTTGGGGCGCCGCCCCCTGTCATGCACAGAGCAGGGTCGATGGGGAGGTTGCGGCGCCACCCCTGTCACACACAGAGCAGGGCCAATCAGGGGGTTGGGGCACTGCCCCCTGTCACAGAGAAGGGCCCATCAGGGGGCTTGGGGCTCTGTACCCTGTCACGCACAGAGCAGGGCCGATCAGGGGGTTGGGGCGCCGCCACTCTCACACTCAGGGCAGGGCCAATGGGGAGGTTATGGCTCTACCCCGTCACACACAGAGCAGGACCCGTGGGGGAGGGGGGTTGGGGCGCTGCACCCTGTCAAACACAGAGCTGCAGGGCGATCAGGGGGTTGGGGAGCTCCCCCCTATCAGGCACAGAGCAGGGCAGATAGGGAGGTTGTGGCCCCGCCCCCTGTCACACACAGAGCCACAGGGTGATCAGGGGGGTTGGGCACTGCCCCCTGTCACGCTGATCCCGGTGCCGGGAGGCCTCGCGGCTCTGCTGACCCTGGTGCTGGGAGGCATATTACCCTTTTACTATATAGGGTAGAGGCCTGGTGCATGGGTGGGTGCCAGCTGGTTTGCCCTGAAGGGTGTCCTGGATCAGGGTGGGGGTCCCCACTGGGGTGCCTGGCCAGCCTGGCTGAGGGGATGATGGCTGTTTGCAGCTGGTCACACATCCTTCAGGGTGGGGGTCCCCACTGGGGTGCCTGGCCAGCCTGGGTGAGGGGCTGAGGGCTGTTTTCAGGCTGGGGGTGACTGAAGCTCCCAACCACTCCCTTTTTTCTTTTTTTATTCTGGGCCAGCTTTAGCTTTGAGTCGTGGCTCCAGCTCTTAGGCCTCTGCTGCTGAAAGTAGGTTTCTGGCCTTTACTTACAATGTTGCGATCCTGCTGGCTGAAGCCCGGTGGACTAAAACAGGTTTCTGGGGTTTTGTTTAGCTTCTATATTTGTTACATAGTTGCTTAGAGTTGCAGCTCAGAGGCCTGCAGTGGCAGGCGGGGAACGTTGGAGTCCTCTGTCACTGAAGCAAGCAAGCCTCATGTTGGTTTCAAGCTGCCTGGCTGCCGGCCGCCATCTTGGCTGGCAGTTAATTTGCATATTGCCCTGATTAGCCAGTGGGAAGGGTAGAGGTCGTATGCCAATTACCATGTTTCTCTTTTATTAGATAGGATAACTTTGATGCCAGGTGGGTACTCGAATAACAGGGAGATCACTTTGTGAACTATATGATTGCCCAACCACTGTGCTGTACACATGAAACTAATACAAAATAATATTGAGTGTAATCTGTAATTGAAAAATAAAATAAAATGTTCCCTTATGCTACAATATCCCTCTTTGGAAGGCTAGGAGGTGGGACAGGTCCCAGATCACTCTGCCTTTAGATGCGAAGCACTGCCCTGTGTCTAGAGAGTCCAGGGAATCAGTTTACTTTTTAATAGGTTTGTGAGCTCCAAGGGCACTGTTGATAGATTGAATGTTCCCAAAATGGTACTGAGGTAGTTGGGACACATTAACAGGTTGTATTATGACCTGACCTGTGGAACTGAGAAAATAAAAATTCTGTATCTGCTCTGAAAGTGAGGCTGGAGAAGGAATTGGTACTGTAAAAGGAGAATTGAATCACTTCAGATAGCTTGGAAGTTTCTAGGAGTCCCATAGGTCCTTTCTGTGTGGTTCCAGGAAGGAGGGACAGCTTTGTGATAAAGGCCAAGCACATCCCAAAGAGGATTCAGCCTAAGCTTCAGCCACACCTGCTGCCAGCCCAGCTTCACCCTGTGGTCACCAGGCTTGCACTGGCTCCCTGCCTGAGTTACCCAATAGAGCAGCTGGAAGCACTGCCACCAGCAATGCGCTTACATAGAAAATGAGCTTTCCTCTGTGGGTTTTCAAAGCTTCCCAAATAATCTGGTCTGATACTAGCAGATCTCTTGAGTATGAGTTCCCGTAATAGGATCAAAACTATCTTCTGAATAAGTAGAAACAACTTGTAACAAGCAATAAAACCATCTATGAACAAATCTTACCTTGTTAGAAAGTAAGTTGTTTATTCTGAAATCAGCCTTCTATTCCTGTTGATAGGGTCTACCCTGAAACAACAGATGGTCTTCAAAATTATTGGGTTGTCTTTTGACATTTCCTTGCCTGAGTAACTTTTTTTTTTAAACCATCCTTAATGTTCCTTGGATCTCATCCATAGATGACAATATTTTGACACTAGGAGTTCATTAAACAGCCACAGCAAGAAGTAATTTGGTCATCCTTCTGCAGACACATGGCACTGGGTCCTCACCCCCCTGGTAGCACTGTGACAGGACCTACTGGCACTCTCCCAGCTCCCTGATGAACATTCCACCTCACCAGATTGGTAATTGGCTCTGGCAGGAGATCAGAAGCTCCCATGGATAATAAACTGAATTTAAATTAAAATCCCAGTACAGGCCTCTTTAAATATGCCTATTGTCTCTGATTTTGACCCCGGTCAGTTTTGTAGGGTCACTTATATTCTATCTCTTAGGAGCAGTGGTTCTCAACCTTCCTAATGCCGCGACCCTTTAATACAGTTCTTCATGTGGTGGTGACCCCCAACCATAAAATTATTTTCGTTGCTACTTCATAACTAATTTTGCTACTGTTATGAATTGTAATGTAAATATCTGATATGCAAGATGTATTTTCATTGTTACAAATTGAACATAATTAAAGCGTAGTGAGTGATCACAAAAACAATATGTAATTATATATGTGTTTTCCGATGGTCTTAGGCGACC